TGGTTTTCTTTATTCTCAGGACATGAGTCACGAAAACAAAGACGACATCCTATCTGATCGTTGAGTATCTTGATTGCATTCAAACCGTTTTCACAATGATTTGGAGACAATTATTTGTTAGTCAGTTTGCTTACTTCAGAAAGAAGCCAAAGAAAATATCTTGACAGTATTTCAAACCGTTTTCACATTGATTAGAGGACAATTATTTGTTAGTGGGTTTCCAAAAAACTAAACAGAATATCTTGACAGCATTTCAATTATTTGAATGTGATTCACCAGTTAAACATAGCATACTTTAACAATGCGTATTCGAAATTGTTACATTTTCAAATGGTGTTTATTTAAAACTGTTATATTGTCGGTGTCCACTCCCCTAAAAATATTTACCCAATTATACTATTAATTAGTGAGTTTCACATTAAATCGGATATTGTTCACTTAAACATTTTTATGATAATCTCTATTACACATTCTTAAAATTAAAAGTGAAGAACAGGTGCAGTATATCACCCATGACGGATAATTTATTGTGTTAGGGAATATTTAGCCAAAGGCAAAATTAGGGGCGCAGAATTACTCTCGCGTGCAAGTAGTGGCATGTAGTAATACTCGACGTGTAACGCCCCTTTTGCATCGAATTATCTATAAAGCTTCCCTAATCTCTCCATATAATTATCAATATATTTTTCTAAGTTGATATATGGCCGAATATAAAAACAAATAGGTTCTTCATATCTCTTCCTATTTATTTAAAAAATGTGTTATTTACACATTTTAGTATTATCTTGTGCAAGCCTGTGAGTTAAGTCACATGACATATGTTTGTGGCGCCTTGTTGAATGGAAATGAATAGCAGGATCACGCCGATAATGGCCTCTCGACAAGTACAATTAACCGCAAAGCATACAATAAATTCACCATTTTCAACTGAAGTGAAGTACTTGAATAAAGAATGTAGGACACGCTACTTAGAAGAGATTTCTTTGCTGGGAACAGATGACCCATATTTGTTCCCTAAAGCAATGTTTAATGGGTTAAAAGACGTGACAGTACCTAGGACTAACATACCGGATTTACGGCACTCAAACATTTATAATTGTCTAATAAATTCGACAACAGCTTTCATTTGACAGATTTTGAAGACGTATAAAGGACTAGACGCCTATGAATACTTAATAGCTGGTTTTGTCAAGAAGCTCAGTTTATATTAATTTGACAGTCGGGACGAAAAATACTTCATTATAAATACAAGTACAACTAAGTCAAATTTCGCTAGTCCTAGTTGAGTATTATTTTTCAATAGACTCAATAATAGTTGACACATACAGCTATTGCGTGTTCTTCTACAACTACTTCTACTATTAGGGTTAATTTCTATAGAGTATCATTACAAACCGATTTATTACTTCAAAATTGACTGTCATATACTACTGCCAAAACAAGACCAATCCAAATTCTTATCACATGAAATTCTGACACTTGATCCATATAATATTAACATTGTAAACGCATAAGTCTCAAAGTTGTTCGAAAACAACAACTCCATGTACTCCAGAAGAAAACAGCTGTCGAAAATACACACTTGAAAATAAGAAGAAAAAGTTTTGTGATTATTCATATTGTTACGTCTCTGTTCGTTTGTTAATTTCCCGTAAAAATTCTTTCCAAATAACTTCAGCGATACAAGTCCTTTCTTAAATAAAACTAGTTTATTCTTTCTCAATACAGCTTTACAATACACTTAATTTCCACAGTCACTTTAACTTTAACACACGCTATAATTCACAACGATTCACGCACTTTACTTACGGTCACTACCGCTCCCTTGACTCAATTATCTGTCTCTGTATCTCGCTTTATTTGCCGGGCTTATATACAATAAAAGAGGGCGCCTAGAAAAGACTAGAGT